TTGGCAGCTTTACCTTCCTGTGGCCATGACAGACCGTACAAGTCAATCTTCTGGGATCAGACATGACTTAAGATTTTCCCAGGGGCTGGGGAGATGGCTTAGTAGAATAAATTCTTGCCTGGCAAGCGCAAGGGCCTGAGTTCAATCCCTGGTTCCTCAAAAAAAAAAAAAAAAAAAAAAAAAAAAAAAATTTCCCTGTCTGAGGCCCTCCATACAGTCATGACCAATTTCTATTATTATTATTATTTGACATAGGGTCTTGCTACTTAGCTCAGACTCGTTTGTGATCCTCCCATCCCAGCCTCCCCAGAGGTGGGATTACTGGTGTGTGCCACCACGCCTGGTTTCAGTGGCGCGCACGGCACTCGGTACCCAGGTCCTTGCACTTGCCAGGCAGGCGCTTAGCCCACCGAGCTCTTTCCCCAACCCACATCACAAACTGTGTGACTAACTTGTCCTAAGTAAAACAGCCCGAGGAGGTTAAGGGGCATGTTCAAGGGCACACACTGAGCTACCAGAGGTCACACCGGTCTGCGTGATTGTCACATGCCACAGTAGGCGCATGGGAGGGGTACTTCATGCCTAGAGAGGTCTGCATTTAAATGCTAGTCCACCGCTCACTCACGTGCTGTGTGACTTCAGCAGATTATCTGTCTCTGAGCTTCATATTCCTCATCTGTCGTAGCAAAATTAATTATCCCTTTCAGAGTCTTTGTATGAACTAAGTAGAAAATAAAAGCATTTCCTGAAGATAGATGCAAAGAATACCAAACTAAGCAGCAGGGTGTGGCGGAAGCACCTGTGATCCCTGTACTAGGGAGGATGAGGCAGGAGGATCCCCTCAAGTCTGCAGTTAGCCTGGGGTACATGGTGAGCTGAGGTCCACGCTGAACTCCATTACAAGACCCTGAGTCAAAAAAAAGAGGGGAGAGAGATTGTGGAGCTGAGCATGGTGGCTCTGGATGTAATCCCAACATTGGGGAGGCTGAAGCAGAAGGATTGCTGGAAATCTGAGGCCAGGCTTGGGTACAGGTGCCCTCAAGGCCAGCCTGACACGCATAGCAAGACTCTGTCTCAAGAAAACACAGGGGCCAGGGAGATAGCTCAGTGGAGTAAGTGTTTGCCTGGGAAGCAAAAAGGTCCTGAGTTCAATCCCTACTACCACCAAAAAAGAAAACACAAACAAGCCAGGTGTGGTGGTGCATGCCTGTAATCCCAGCGCTCTCTAGAGGCTGAGGCAAGAGAATCGTTGCAAGTTCGAGACCAGCCTGGGTTACAAAGTGAGCTCATGGCCAGCCTGAAGTACATAGTGAGAACGTCTCAAAAAGACAAAGAAAAAGAGAGACTAAGCCAGGCTGGGGATGCAGCTCAGGGGTGGAGCATTTGCCTAGCACACATGAGGCCCTGGATTTGATCCCAGCACTGAGAGACAGAGAAAACCGAACAGAGAAATCTTCAGAGTATGAGAAATCAGGTTGAGTGGTCAGCACTAGTGAACATGTGAGCCCCAAGTTCATCCCCAGCACAGTAGAAAGAGAAAAAAAGTAAATCTGATCAAGTGATCTATGTAAGCACACCTGCCACAAGCGGGACCAAGCCCAGCTCATCCTACAGTGGCTGAATTTTGGAAAATCAATTAACATAATTCATGGAGTTCATGTATTAAAAAAGCTAAAAAAATCAATTCAGTGAGTATGTTAACACTTTGCAAATAAAATCTTACTTTAAAAAAATGGGCTGGCCAAATAGCTCAGCAGATTAAAGTACCTGCAAGCAGGTGCGGGGGCCAGGTAGGGGCCAGGGTCCGATGGGTTCCATCCCCAGGCCTGCGGGGCTGGCCCGCCCACAGGGCACACTGAGATAGGGATTGAGACTGGGCGTGGTGGTCCGTGCCTGTAATCCCAGCTCTTGGGAGGCTGTGAACAGGTGGATCACTACAAGTCTGATTTAGTAGTGAAACCCTGAACACCCCGTAGACCCTTCCCTAAAATACAACAAAATAAAATTCAATTAAAATTTATAAATTTAAAAAAAATGTTAAGGTACGGGGGATATAGCTCAGCGGTGCAGGTCCTGCAGGACAAGCGCTAGGTCCCAAGTTCTGTTCCCAGTAATAACAATAGAAGTTGTGTGTGTGTATGTGTGTGTGTGCGCACACACGCGCGTGTGTGCACATGCGTGTTAAGGACTGAGTTCAGAGCCCCGTCCGTGTAGGCAAGCACTCCAACGCTGTGCCTTAAACAGAATGTTCTTGCCAGGGGTGGCAGTGCACACCTGTGATCCCAGCACTTGGGAGGCTGAAGCAGGGCCCTCGCTACAAGTATTTATTTTGTCTCTTGAGATAGGGTCACACGGTCTCACTGTGTAGTTCAGGCTGGCCTTGAGCTCACAATGATCCCCCTGCCTCAGCCTCTTCAGTGCAGGGATTACAGGTGTGCGCCACCATGCCCGGCTTTCCCATTTTAAAGAACATTTCCTTTAACATCAGCAGTATGGAAGCCCCTGTCACACTGTAGCCCCAGAAACATACTGAACAAGCGCAGACAGGAGGTGAAGCAAAACTCATTATTTGCAGGTGTCATTTGTTATTCCCCCAAACCACAAAAACTAGCCAGGCATGGTGACACACTTGTGACCCCAGCATACAGGAGGCTGACGCAGGAGGATCACCACACATTCAAGGCCAGTTTAGGCTACATAGTGAGTTCAAGGTCAGCCTGAAACAGATTGCAAACAAAATCTCAAAACCCAAAGTAGTTCAAGGGAAGATCTTTGGCTATGAAAAATCTAATGGGAAAATCATGCCCAAAGCAAAAGAATCAGTAACAATTTGGGATTGGAATTACCTTTGGTGAGAAGAAGGAACTACACATGGCCCTTCAAAATGACTAAAATTATTACATTTCTTATTCTGAAGATGAAATTGTTCATTGTATTGTTCTGCAAATTCTGCAGGGATTTGTTCTCTGGTGGTCCCCAGGGGTGGTGAGAGGATTTAGAAAATAAAGACGAGATAATGGCTGAGGTCAGGTGGTAGCCCATGCCTGATTGGCAAAGGACCTCGGAACAACAGTAGGGGTGTTTTATTTATACTTTTGCAAAGTTACAAGATGAGGTTGCCTAGCGACTAATAGCCCACAAAGTCCAGGCAGGATGTTTTTCTCAAGACTGAGGTAGCCTGACTGCTTCAAGCAATTTCTTGCCTCATTCTGCTCTCCCACAGAGGATCAATTTCCAGCTTCAGGGGCTCCCAACAAATTCACAGATTAATTTTAGGCATCTGTGTGGTTTGCTTTTTTTTTTTTTTTTTTTTTTAGTGGTACTAGGGATTGAACTCAGGACCTTGCACATGCCACGCAAGCACTTACTCCACTGAGCTATCTCCCTGCTCCTACTTTTATTTTTTTGCTCCAAATGCCTTGAGGGCAGGTTTAGCTGGCTGGAGTTGTGGGGATCGAACCACAGCAACCTGAGCCTGACTGCTTTGTTGAAGCAGCCACTTAAAAGAACTGAGCTACGGGGCAGACCCCCTACTTTTATTTTTTGGTCCGGTCTGACTGGCAAGATAGCTCAGCAGACTAAGCGCCTGCTTAAGCAAGTGTAGGGACCAGGGTTCAATTCCCAGCACCCCATGCTGCACTGGCCCCAACCCTGGGCACACTGAGCTGGCGACCAAGACTGGGCATGGTGGCGCACACCTGTAATCCAGGAGGATCATTACGAGTCCAAGCTGTGTAGTGAGACGCCACCCCAAATACATTTAAATAAAGAAGTGTTGAGACAGGATCTCACTATATAGCCCAGGCTGGCCTCAAATTCATAGCAGTCCTCCTGCCTCAGCCTCCTGAGCGGCAGGATCATGAGCCACTACGCCCAGCTGTCTGCTTGGGTATTTGATGTATTTGCCTGTTTTATAAAGTTAAGTCTCCATAGTTAAAAAACCGTTTATTTAGCAGGAGGAGCACTGTGATTTTGAGGCCAGCCTGGGCTGCAAAGTGAGTACAGACAAAGCCAGCGAACCCAGTTTTGGAAGCAGAAAGTTAAAGGTCATGCACATGTGTTTGACCTCAGATAAGGGTTCTGTCGCTTCAGTCACAACGTGATAAACAGAAATAACTGTGTGTGGAGGACACGGGCAGAGGGTGGCCTTCCTTGTGACCTGCTCTGGAGAGAGCTAACCAGGGTCCCTGGAGAGCAGCATTAATCCCTTCCGAGGGCAAAGCCCGGATGACCTAATTAACTTTCCGGGCCTGTCTCTTAAAGGTACCATACCTGGGGCCGGGGAGATGGCTCAGTAGAATAAGCGCTTCCCTGGCAAGTGCAAGGGCCTGAGTTCAATCCCCGGTTCCGCAAAAAAAAAAAAAAAAAAAAAGGTACCACACCTCCCCCAGCACCAGGCTTCCCTCAAACCCTTGACCCTTTAGGGGGCTTGCAACCCTGCTCTTAAGCCGAATCAGGAGGGTGGTGTTATTTTGTTGTTGCTTGTTTCCCGGTGTGAAGATGCACACCTCTAATCGCTGAGTTCAAGGTCAGCCTACATTGCATAGTGAAACCCCATCTCAAAAAAATAGAGAAATATATATAATATATTATTTATTTATTTATTTTGGGGGGTATTTTTAGGGGAGGGTCCACAGGATACTCAGGGCCTCACTACTAGATCGGAGTCGCAGGGATTCTCCTGTTTACATACTCCCAAGAGCTGGGCTTACAGGCGTGCCACCACGCCCAGTCTCAACTGCCCTCTCAGCCTGCTCCTGGGGCGGGCGGGCCGGGACAGTCCTGGGGATCAAGACCCGACCCCTGCTTGAGGCACTTAAATCCGCTGAGCTATTTGGCCGGCCCTAAAAATAGAGAAATAGATAATGTGTAGCCCCCTGTCTTTGCTCAAAAGCGCACCGCATAGGGCTCCTCTGTCACCGCCAGCCTGCTCCTCCTCACAGCGCCCCTGTGTGGGGACTGGGCGGTGAGCGGGTGCAACCTGTTGTCTCCAGCAGATACTGGGGGCCATGGAGTCTCAGGTGGGGGGGGGCCCGGCCGGCCCAGCCCTGCCCAATGGGCCACTCCTGGGCACCAACGGAGCGACTGACGACAGCAAGACCAACCTCATCGTCAACTACCTGCCCCAGAACATGACCCAGGATGAGTTCAAGAGTCTGTTCGGCAGCATCGGTGACATTGAGTCCTGCAAGTTGGTTCGGGACAAGATCACAGGTGTGGCTGCTGGCCCGAGGCCAGGGTGGGGGTGGGATGGGGAGGGTGCAGAGGGCCCCAGGGGTACAGGTGCCACCCGCACAGGTGTGAGTCTGGGCGAGTGGCCACGTGCCACTCGGGGGTGTGTGGTGTCACGGAGGGACAGGCCAAGGGGGGCCCCTCTGAGGCCCCGGTTTGGAAGGGCACTGGCGCGCCCCAGGCTGGGCACGGAATCCCATCCTGATCTCGCACTCAGGCCAAAGCCTCGGCTATGGATTTGTGAACTATTCTGACCCCAACGACGCAGACAAAGCCATAAACACCCTCAACGGCCTCAAACTGCAGACCAAGACCATCAAGGTGAGCGAGTGCCGCCACCCCCACGGCCACCTGGGGTCCCCTGGGACCGCACCTCGCTCTCTCCCCCACTGGCGCCTGCGCCTCGTCCCAAGGGGGCTCAGTCCCTCCTCGAAGCTTTCTGGCTGCTTCGCCCGGCAGGAGCGCGAGGGTGTGGAGGAGGCAACTGCTTTGTTTCTCCACACCTCAGTTTTCCAGCCTGTCAATGGGGACAATGTAAGCCCCACAATATCTGGAAGCTTGTGAGGTCAGCCAGGCCTCAAAGGTAGGACAGAGTGAGTGACCAGGTCCCTTGGGTCACCCCCTGCCTGCCTTTGTCCTGGCCGTGGAGGTGGGAGCCCATCTGCCATCTGGAGCCTAATTAGGGTGTGGGATGTGGATTGGGGCGGCCCCTCCCCCGCCTTTGTGCGGCGCCCCTCCCCCACTGCTCCCCTCTTAGCAGCTATAGTCAGGACCCTGTGAGCCTGATCCCTGGGGGGATCACCATGGAAACTCCTCGCCCATCCGCCTGGGGGTGTGTGGACTCCGCCCCACAAATCTGCTCCTGGACCCTGAGGAAGGCCGGGAGGGGGGTGCCCATCTGGCCCCCCATTTGTCCTGGGGCCTGAGGTATAGGAATCTTCCTGTCTTTGACTTGGGTGTGCTGGGGAGAAACAAGGTTGTGACCTCATGGCCCCCTTGCAGCCAGCCGGGCCCAGAAGCCCCCCCCAGCCCGGGGGTAGACACTAGTGACTAAATAGCAGCGTGTGTTGTGTGTGCACATGATATCCCGGGACACGGTGGTTGTGTCACATGGAGCCTACACAGCGGCTTCTGTCGTGTGAGTCCGTCTGTGTGATGCGCGTCCTGAGGGTCTAGACTGGCTAGTGCTTCCCGACAGACACAGACACTCAGGCTGTGACCAGGTGGGGTGCCGAGGGTGTGTCTGGCTGTGACAGTGCTTGTGTGACCAAGTGACACTGGGTGGGTGTGCCTTTCTGTGCTCCATTGGGGACAGAACATGTGTGCCCTGCAGTAGGTGACAGGTGTGCTCAGTTCTGAGTGTAGCTCTTAGGAGCTTGTGTCATAGGGAGCTAGCGGTGGCCTGGTGACTCCCTCTTGCCAGCTTGCCCAGTGTGGTGCCTCCCGGGGGTCACTAAGGCTGGGGGTCACTAAGGCTGCGTCCCCCAGTTGGGCCCCACCCACTGAGCACGCTGGCAGATTCTTACCGTCACCTGTGTGCAAAAGCTGGGCCACTTCCAGGTGTAGGAAGAATTTGCCGTTGCTGCAGCAGAGAACCAGCCCCCATTATAGAGAAAGGAATGAAGTGCCTACTGTGTGCCTTAGGGGATCCCAGCCCCCAGGCCCCACCTTGGTGCTTAGAGCACCTGCTCCTTCCATTTCCAAGCCCAATCCACCAAGGCACCCCTCAGCTGGCTACAGTTGCTCCCTCTTGTCATCTCAGGCACTTGGTTGAGGCAGGAGGGCTGCAAGTTCAAGATCAGCCAGGCCATTTGGGGAAACCGGTTCAAAATAAAAAGGGCTGGGGGCTGAGGAGATAGCTTGAGCTCTAAGTACCTGCCTGACAAGCACAAGGACCTGGGTTCAGTATCCCCACACCATGGTGGCCCGAAAGCCTATAATCTCAGCACTGGGGAGGCTGAGACAGGAAGATCACTTTGAGTCTGAGCTGTGTAGCGAGTCCCTGTACCAGATAAATAAGTAAATAAATAAATAATAAATTTTTAAAATTTTAAAAATAGGGCTGGGGATAAACCTCCACGTAAAGTCCCTTAGTTGAACCCTAGTAAGGCAGAAACAAAACCAAGCAAAATAAGACAAAACAGCAGCTATAATGTCTTTTCCTGGACGGCCCCAGGCGTGCAGTTCCATTACTCAGAACCCACCCCCTCCGTGCCCAGAGTACCCTCACCCTGCAATCCACCCCTACTCCGTTTATTTTGTTCGTTTCTTTTTTCTTTTCTTTTTGGCGGAACCAGGGATTGAACTCAGGCCCTTGCACTTGCCAGGGAAGCGCTTACTCCACTGAGCCATCTCCCCAGCCCTATTTTGTTCGTTTCTTAATTAGTTATTTCTGATGAAATGATACACCCTCACAACTCCTGGCTCCAAACAAAGACAGACAGACGCCCAGCAACAACCTTTAACTATCAAGAAGCTAATTGAGAAGAAAGAAAAAGGTGTTGGCAGAAGTAAGGGGCCGGGAGTTCGCCCTGCCCCCCACCCGTGAGCAGTTGGGGGCGGAGCTTCACGCCCCTCTCCCGGACGTGGGCAGGGACACAATGCCTGGGGTCACGTAATGCTCCCTGTTTTGTAAATGGACTTTTCTTTCGCCCACTTCACAATACTCGCCACTGTTTGGGGAATCAATGTCCACGTCCAGCATTTTTCCAACAGCTGCAGCGTCTCCGTGTTGGGCTGGACCCCACGGGTAGCGACTGGAATCGCATGATATCCCTGAGTCATGTCAATTCACACAGGAAAGAGGTGCTCTGAGAGCGAATAACTGAGATGGGATTGGGGGCTTGCAGGGAGAGGACAGGGAAGAGGCTGGACGAGGGGGGAGTTCTCTGTGGGGGAGGGGCGCGTGCAGAGGCCCCGGTCTGTATTTAGTACAGTCTCACTACGCAGCCCGGCCTCGTGGTGATCCACCTGTCACAGCCTCCCCAGTGCTAGGATTACAGGCATGGGCTACCATACCCAGTTTTGGTCTCTGGCCCAGCATGCAGTGGCAGGGATTGAACCCAGGCCCTTGTGCTTGCCAGGAAGCTGCTTAGATCACTGAGCTATCTCCTCCGCCCGGACTGGCGGATTTTGAGGGAAATGAGGCCTCTGTGGCGGTATGAGAGCAAGCAAGGAGAGCGATCAGGGCAGAGTATGGCAAGGCATCATGAACTCCAAGAAGGACTTCACTGCCAAGGAAGGCGGGAGCCACAGAAGGCTCAGTGCAGAGGGAGTGACCCGCTCAAGAGGACTCCCCAGGCTGGGAACCAAAGACAGAGCTGCTGTTGCTTTTAGGGTTGGGGCTTTGTTAGGACCCTTGGTCCTGGACCCACTGCTATGTCCTCTCCCCATCCATACCCTGCTCTGAGACACTGCAGGTGGGTGCCTCAGTGTACACCTGTAATCCCACCTGCTCAGGAGGCTGAGGCAGGAGGATCTCCAGTCGGAGCCCACCTCACCCTGTCCCTCTGCCCCCTTGCCCAGGTGTCCTACGCCAGGCCCAGCTCTGCATCCATCCGGGATGCCAACCTGTATGTCAGCGGGCTCCCCAAGACCATGAGCCAGAAAGAGATGGAGCAGCTCTTCTCACAGTACGGGCGCATCATCACCTCGCGCATTCTGGTGGACCAGGTCACAGGTCGGGCAGCAGGGAGACACCGCAGTTGCCAGGGGGCGAGACGGGGGTGGGGGAATGTAGCTGTGTGGGAGGGGCCAGCATCCTCATGCCCATGCTCATGCCTGGCAGGTGTCTCTCGGGGTGTGGGGTTCATTCGCTTTGACAAGAGGATCGAGGCCGAGGAGGCCATCAAAGGATTGAATGGGCAGAAGCCGCTCGGTGCGGCCGAGCCCATCACGGTCAAGTTCGCCAACAACCCGAGTCAGAAGACGGGGCAGGCGCTGCTCACCCACCTCTACCAGTCGTCCGCCCGGCGCTATGCAGGCCCCCTGCACCACCAGACACAGCGCTTCCGGTGAGCTCTCGGCAGGCCCAGCTGGCACCCCAAACCCCAGCCGGCAGTGATGAGGCCCCCCACCCTGGGGCTGCTGGGGTGCAGAGAGGCAAAGGCCAGGTTGTTGGTGCCGAGACCTGGCCCCAGTACATAGTCGGTGCTCAATGTGTCTGACTGTGACTGTTGGCTTTTGAGAAGGGCCCTGGGAATGGAACCTGGAACCTCTGGTCCTCTTTTTTATTTTGTACTTTGAGAGAGGGTCTCGCCAAGTTATCCACTGTGGCCATGAACCTGTGATCCTCCTGCCTCAGCCTTCCAGGTGCACGTGTACCACTCTACCTGGCACAGTTGTGTTGTTGGTGTTAGGGTTTTGGTGAAACTTGGCCAAAGTCCTGGTCGCTTTCTGTCTGTCCCCTGGGTGTGTGGGGCCTGACCTCAGTCCACTCAGCTGGACCAGAAACAACCATTTCCTGGGCGTTCGCTGTGTGCTGGGAATATTTATTTATCGTGCTCCCTGGTGAGGATGGAGCTTGCCTTGTCTACACCTTACAGAGTGAACCTCAGTAAAGCGCAGACGGGTGTCAGGCCCCGTCAGCACCCAGGGCCCCAGCCACTCAGAGTGGCAGGGAAAGTGGCCGCGGAGAGTTCCCTACGCCCTAGTGCTCCAGGACAGTGGCCCTGGCTGTCACTGTCTCCTTTGTTAGGGCCACTGCTAACTCAGAGATGCCACCAGTCCTGGGCCCAGATGGGCCCCGCCGGCCACCAGGGAGGGGTGGACCAGGATGGCGAGGGGCGGTGTCCGAGGGACCGCAGTCCGTGCCAGGCGGCGGCCAGCGGGACGGGCGGGGGCAGGGCCCTGCTGCCCTGACCGGTGGGGGCAGGGAGCCCGGGCTTGGCCGGCCATCACAGTGTGGTGACACCGCTTCTGCCTCCTCAGGCTGGACAACCTGCTCAACATGGCCTACGGAGTCAAGAGGTAACAGTGCCCCCCGCCCCGGCACCCCTCCTCGGACCCTCGCCCGCCACCCCCTCCCCACCACAGCCATGCAGCTGCTCGGCCCTGTCTGCCTCTGTCCGTGAGCCTGAGGCTGGCCCGGAGCTCGCAGATGCCAGAAAGGGCTCATGCCGTGAAGTGGGAGCTCCAGGAAAGTCCTGAAAGGCGGCAGCGCAGACCAGGATACATGCCTGGGGCTTCCCACCTTAATTCTTTGAGATCCACCAGCCACTCTGAATTGTTTTTGTCAAAGGTCACAAAATGACTTTCTGCCCCTAAGTCAAGGTGGACTGCATGGTGCCCCTTGATGCTGTCTGTGTCCCTGATCTGGTGAAAGTCCTTGTGTTTGGTTGGTTGCTTTTGGTTCATTTTTGAGACAGAGTCTTGGCTATGTAATGAATGCAGGCTGGCTTCAAACTCCCAGTGGTCCTCCTGTCTCAGCCTCCCGAGTACTGGGGTGACAGGCATGTGTTGACCTTCGCTGATTTTATTGCACCAAAAGCTGTGGAGGGCAGTTGGTGAGGCAGGTGCTGGGCCTGGGGCTGGGGTCCTAGCAGACCTGGCTCAACTTGGTACAGAGGAAGTGAGGCAAAGTTCAGGGCTCAGCGCTCAGGAAGGGCTCGATACATGGAGGGCTGCCGCTGCTGCCACTCCGGGCCTCAGCCTTGTGGGGACAGAAGGGAATGGGCGGCACCAGGGCTAGGCAGAGGGCAGCATGAGGGGCAGCAGGGCCTGCAGAGGCCCCACCCCATCTGGGGTGCCTTGGTACTGAGGCCCAGAAAGGAGCTGCAGTTGTAGTTCATGCAGCACATGCCCCCGAAGTCCCTAGCAGGTGCTGTTCTGGGGCAGGATGACACCAGAGAAGGTGAAATTGAAAATTGAAAATATTCCCTCTGCTCTGCTGGGAATATGTTCCAACACACATCCCTGAAATGAAGAATGATACCAGGGCCAGGGAGATGGCTCAGTGGAATAAGTGCTTACCTGGCAAGTGCAAGGACCTGAGTTCAATCTCCAGTTCTGAAAAAAAAAAAAGAATTATACCTAAGCCTTTTTTCTTTTTGAGAAGGGTCTCACTATGCAGTTCAGACTGGCCATGAGCTCACTTTGCAATCTAAGCTGGCCTTGAACCTGCAGCAATCCTCCTGCCTCAGCCTCCCTCCCGAGTGCTGGGATTATAGGCGTGCACCACCATGCCTGGCTATCATATTATTGATCACAATATTCAGTAAGTGTTT